ATGATAATTAAAAGATGATGATGATAATCATGATGATAATGATAAAGATGATGATGATGATTATATCTATAATGATAATTGTAATACTGCTTTATGATAATATCTGACGTTAATTTTAAAGCTGATGATGAGGATGATAATGACCATGATGATGTTAATTTATGTTGATGATTTTTCTTGTTAAGATAATTAAAGACCAAGTTTTCTTATATATAAATCATAGGAACTCTTGAACAGGACCGCATATTGCGGCGCATAAATCAGAATCCGTATCGGCTTTACATATTGTTTGTCCGACCTTTGAATATCTTTTCATATTATGCCAGCGGGCGGTCTTTAATTATCTAATCTCAATTTAATATAATCTGCGAATTTAAAAATCAGTCAAATTTACGGTATATTGAAAAAAGAAAAGGAGTGACATCCGCCATTTACCGCAACGTTTGGCGTAATTTATACCCCTTGATATGCTTGATTTTTGTTTTAATTTTTCTAGTAATGAATACCAGATGAGTGCCTAAAATATTTATCTATGGATAATGTTTTAATATTCCTTTTTTCAGTTAGGCAAAATCAGTTGGACCATATTACTAAAGTGTCTGTTTTCGCCATGTTAACAAATCAAAACACGAATATGCCCGTTATAATGCCGCCTATACATGTCAACACATGTAAACAATAAACCGTGAACGTTATATCCGGACGATACCCGATAGTTGACAAAAATAACGGGAACAAAATTCTGGAAAAATAGTAATCAATTGTAGCCAAAGGGGAAAAACTCATGCCATAAATGTGGCGGCGAATAGCGGATGTCACTCCTTGTCTTTTTTTATAATACCGTAAATTTTAACCAGTTTTAAAAGAGACAGATTGGGTTCAATTGATAACATATTTTTAGAGGCCATATACTCGGATAATACTAAAAGATGTTTAGATGTAGCAGAAACGTTTTTTTAAAAACCGTTACACGATCGAAAATATGCGCCGCAATCTGCGGTCCCGTTCTCGAGTTCCTATGATATAAATGGACAACTTCACAGTGCATGTTTAATATAACCAGTGATTATATTCAGACAACTACAGACAGATTTTCTGTTATCAATGAAATTTTATATCAATGATAAAATGTTCATTTACAGTTTTGTTTATGGATTGATTTTCCTTGCAAGTTCAGATGACGCAAGTTGTTACATGGAGTTAATGCAGCAGTTTGCAGTAATGAGAATCAAATGACAATTTTTTTATTTTTTTTTTTGCTAATGATATACAGCTGTGGAAAGGACAACAAATGATTTTTTATGAAAAATCTTAATTGTTTTGAACTTTAGCAGGTATTATGAATTGGTTTTAATTAATATTCTTTATACAGTTGAATATCCTGAATCTGAAAATATGCATACATCTTTTTTGGTTTGTCTGTTTCATAGAAAAAGTGGAGCTATTATGATCGCTGCATTGTTCTTGTTGTTCTTTAAAAAATTTAATGTACAGGTATCCCATTTCTCAAACAGTTTGAAAGGTATCAATATGAAACTTATCATGACAAGGCACAGTAATTTAAAGCCACATGCCTCCAGATGGGTCAAAATATTTCAATAAAATCAAACTTGAGAAAAATTAACTAAGATGTAAGGAAAAGTAAAAAGTTTCAAGATTCAAGTAATATTTTACAGATTATGTACGATGAATGACTGATTTTTCAGTTTTTGTGCCCCCACGTTAGTGGCGGGCATTTAGATTTACCCTTGTCGCACGTAACTCAAAAAGTATTTGACCTAGAGTCATGAAACTTTACAGGAATGTTGATCAGCATGTGTAGTTGTGCACCTGGGTATTTTCGTGTGGATATTTTTAGTATTTTCAGATTTATTGCCCTTGACTTAGTAAAATTTTGCAATTTTCAACTTGTGTCGCATGTAACTCAAAAAGTATTTGACCTAGAGTCATGAAACTTTACAGGAATGTTGATCAGCATGTGTAGTTGTGCACCTGGGTATTTTCGTGTGGATATTTTTAATATTTTTAGAGTTTAGCCCTTGACTTAGAAAAATTTGCAATTTTCGACTTGTGTTGCACGTAACTCACAAAATATTTGACCTAAAGTCATGAAAAATTACAGGAATGTTGATCAACATGTGTAGTTGTGCACCTGGGTATTTTTGTGTTGATATATTTAGTGTTTTTAGAGTTATTGCCCTTGACTTAGTAAAATTTTGCAATTTTCAACTTGTGTCGCACGTAACTCAAAAAATATTTGACCTAGAGTCATGAAATTTTACAGGAATGTTGATCAGCATGAGTAGTTGTGCGCCTGGGTATTTTCGTCTGGATATTTTTAGTATTTTCAGAGTTATTGCCCTTGACTTAGTAAAATTTTGCAATTTTCAACTTGTGTCGCATGTAACTCAAAAAGTATTTGACCTAGAGTCATGAAACTTTACAGGAATGTTGATCAGCATGTGTTGTTGTGCACCTGGGTATTTTCGTGTGGATATTTTTAGTATTTTCAGAGTTATTGCCCTTGACTTAGTAAAATTTTGCAATTTTCAACTTGTGTCGCATGTAACTCAAAAAGTATTTGACCTAGAGTCATGAAACTTTACAGGAATGTTGATCAGCATGTGTAGTTGTGCACCTGGGTATTTTCATGTGGATATTTTTAGTATTTTCAGACTTATTGCCCTTGACTTAGTAAAAGTTTGCAATTTTCAACTTGTGTCGCATGTAACTCAAAAAGTATTTGACCTAGAGTCATGAAACTTTACAGGAATGTTGATCAGCATGTGTAGTTGTGCACCTGGGTATTTTTGTCTGGATATTTTTAGTATTGTCAGATTTATTGCCCTTGACTTAGTAAAATTTTGCAATTTTCAGCATGTGTCGCACGTAACTCAAAAAGTATTTAACCTATCTAGAGTCATGTAACTTTACAGGAATATTGATCAGCATGTGCAGTTATGCGCCAGGTATTTTCTTCTGGATTTATTTAGTATTTTTAGAGTTGTTGCCCTTCACTTAGAAATTTTTTGTAATTTTCAACTTGTGTCGCAAGTTACTCAAAAAGGATTTGACATAGTCATTAAACCTTATGGGTAGGTTGCTCAGCATATTCAGATTTGCACCTGGGGTTTCGCTTGTGAATTTATCCAGTATTTGTAGAGTTATTTCCCTTGACTTAGTAAAAAGATTGAGAGAACAGTGGCGCGGTGGGGGCACCCGTGTCCTATGGACACATTTCTAGTTACAACTATATTACTACTGCATTACTAACACAGTAAAGGCTTTTCATGCATTTTTGACCACTTTTTGGTAATTTATGTGGTTTGTAAGTGCCATTGGCAATGTGTAAATTGCTTCCTTTTTGCTACTATACAATATTACACATTTAAATACATTTTCAAAATTTTCATGAAAATTAGCAAGAATCTGGAGGCAAGGGAAATCATTCTAAAAGCTATATATTTGGAGTTGTGCCCCTTTTAAACTTAGAATCGTTAACATCACATGGTGACTTGTTTCTTTCTAGATTTAATATCGGCCTAATTTCAAGTTATAAAATGATATTTCAGAAAAAATACATAAGATGTCAACTACATTGATGATTACAATAGCCTTTAAGTGATCTATATAAATCAATTATCTTTAGCTCTTAATTTGCTTGAAATAAAAGTGTTTAGCCTATTCTGCCTGGACAGGCTAGTCTGCATATACATGTAGTCTAACACCAGGCTCTATACTGTTGATAGATTAATTCTTTCTTCTTTGTGCTCAGCAGCATCTAGGCTAGTTTCAATCTTTTTCATGCACTGATTTATAGTCACTAAATTTAGTAATACCATCAATATTACATTGAAACTTAATAGTGGACTGAGATCTTTCATACACTATTCTTAATAAGTACTTCAATACTTCAAGTGCCTGAAATAGAACAATTAAACATTTCTAAAAAGGTACTTGATATGTTCTTGTAAACTTTAAGAGCACTTTCAGAGCTGTTTTCAAATCTTTGGAGTTCTTGAACTATTTGAGACTTGTATTTTGTTCAGCTGTTTTAGAACATTTTAAGAATCTGATAGACCCAGGAATGAGTTGTGACCTTTAAGTGGGTCTGGAGTTCCCCTCTATTGGAGTTTCCACTAATTTGGAGTTTCCCTCTATATTGCAGTTTCACTAAATTAGGGTTTCCCTCTATTGGAATTCCCCTATATTGGAGTTTCCTTATATTGGACCCTTTATTGGAATTCCTCTTATATTGGAGTTTTACTAAATTGGAGTTCCCCTAATTTGAAGTTTCTCTCTATTGAAGTTTGAGTTCCCAACTATTGGAATTCCCCTTATTTGGAGTTTCCCTCTATTGGAGTTTGTTTGAGTTCCCCTATATTGGAGTTTCTTCATATTGGACCCTATTTTGGAGTTCCCCTATATTGGAGTATCCCTATATTGGATGGAGTTTCTTTAAATGAACTTGTTTTCCCATTAAAAAGAAATGACAGTAATACTGACAATGATTACAATAACTATAGGCATTCTCTTCACCAAGAACTGAAATATTCTCAAAAGTGTTGGAACAATTCAAAATAATTATATGTCAACATGGACACAGTTGTTTTCAAGATAAAAAAGTTACTGAACAGTTTTTATTTTACTTTCCATTCAAGAATTATATGTGATTTAGAATTGTTACGACACTTGGAAGTAAGTATTTCAGTAGATTCGATTACAGCCTCTTTATTTTGACATTTCCATCCAAAAGTAGGTGGGAAAAGGAAATAGGCCATTCCATTGTCTGTAAAAAGTCATTTTGAACTAAATCCTCAATAATGTCAGATAAACAGCATTATTTACAGACTATAAATGAGGATGGTTGTAATATTAGAACATGGCAAAGTAGCCTTAAAAATCATAAAGAATATTAAGAACCATACCATGTGATCAAGTTACATAAGAAACAGAATTTTTTTGCAATGTATGACGGGTTTTAAATCCTTGAACAGTTCTAGTTTTTAGCTCGACTTTTCTATGAAAAGGGGAGCTATCCTACTCGCCCCGGCGTCGGCGTTGGCGTCACACCTTGGTTAAGTTTTTCGTACCACCCCACTTTATTTCAGAAGTATTACAAGTATGGCTTTGAAACTTACCATACTTGTTCACCATCATAACCTCCATCTACAGACAAGAGTACATAACTCTGTCAAGGTTTTTGACAGAATTATGGCCCTTTTTTGACTTAGAAAGTGTATTGAGCTTGGTTAAGTTTTTTGTACCACCTCACTTTGTTTCAAAACCATTGGAGGTATTGCTTTGAAACTGACCATACTTGTTTACCATCACGACCTTCATCAACAGACAAGAGGACATAACTCTGTCAAGGTTTTTGACAGAATTATGCCCCTTTTTGACTTAGAAAATACATTGAATATGGGTAAAATCCACTTATTGCCTTAACCCTTTGAGATATTGCTTTGAAACTTTTAATGCTATTTCACATCATTACCCCCATCTGTACGCAAGAGAAGGTAACTCTGTCAAGGATTTGTTTTAAAAATTAAGGCCTTTTATCGACTTAGAATCTTGGTTAAGTTTTTTGTACCACCTCACTTTATTTCAAAACCATTGGAGGTATTGCTTTGAAACTGACCATACTTGTTTACCATCACGACCTTCATCAACAGACAAGAGGACATAACTCTGTCAAGGTTTTTGACAGAATTATGCCCCTTTTTGACTTAGAAAATACATTGAATATGGGTAAAATCCACTTATTGCCTTAACCCTTTGAGATATTGCTTTGAAACTTTTAATGCTATTTCACATCATTACCCCCATCTGTACGCAAGAGAAGGTAACTCTGTCAAGGATTTGTTTTAAAAATTAAGGCCTTTTATCGACTTAGAATCTTGGTTAAGTTTTTAGTACCAGTCCACTTTTTGACTGAACTGTTTGAGATATTAATTTGAAAGTTGGAATACTTGTTTACAATCATGATTCCCAAACATGTCCAGGAGAAGGTAATTCTGTCAAAGATTTTATTTGAATTATGGCCCTTAACTGTCAATGTTTTGTATTATAGGCAAGCACTAAAAAACTTAAAAAATCTAAAAAAATTCATTCCTATCCACTTGTTCACTCTCAAAGTGAGTTTAATACTATTAAATTTATTTAAGGCTCAACTCAGTTTTTTTTTCTTTCTTACCAGCCCTCTTTTGACTTAAACATTTCAAACTTTGCTGCAGTGTTCAAGGGTATCACACAATTCAGTAAAATAATTCTTCACTAAATATCTTAATGCTCATGGCCATTGTTCACTTTAAAAATACAGAGATTCTTGTATTGCCTTTTACTGCAAAAACTTTTTTTATTGGCAAGCAATAAAAAAGTCGAGCGCGCTGTCTTACGGACAGCTCTTGTTTTATGCCCCCGCCATGTAATGGCCGGGGCATATAGTGTTACCCTGTTCCGTCATTCCGTCCTTCCGTCCTTCCGTCATTCTGTCATTCCGTTATCATCAGTTTCCGTTCATTATCTTAAGAACGGTTGGACATATTCAACTCAAATTTGACATATGGATATGTCATGAGAAAATACAGGTCAAGTTCGAATTTGGTCATGGTTCGATGATTTTTGGCAGAGTTATGCCCCTTTTACTTTGAAAATAATATGAAATTTCAGTTTCCGTTCATTATCTTAAGAACGGTTGGACACATTCAATTCAAACTTGACATATGGATATGTCATGAGAAAATACAGGTCAAGTTCGAATTTGGTTATGGTTCCATGATTTTTGGCAGAGTTATGCCCCTTTTACTTTGAAAATAATATGAAATTTTCAGTTTCCGTTCATTATCTCCCCAACGGTTCAACACAATCAACTCAAACTTGACATATTGATATGTCATGAAAAAATACAGGTCAAGTTTGAATTTGGTCATGGTTCGATGATTTTTGGTAGAGTTATGCCCCTTTTACTTTGAAAATAATATGAAATTTTCAGTTTCCGTTCATTATCTCCCTCAAGGTACAACACATTCAACTCAAACATGACATATGGATGCATCAAAGGAATGCGCAGGTCAAGTTCAAATTTGGTCATGGTTCAATGATTTTTGGCAGAGTTATGCCCCTTTCACTTTGAAAGTAATATGAAATTTTCAGTTTCCATTTATTATCTCCCCAACGGTACAACACATTCAACTCAAATTTGACATATGGATATGTTTTTGGAATGCGCAGGTCAAGTTCAAATTTGGTCATGGTTCAATGATTTTTGGCAGAGTAATGCCCCTTTCACTTTGAAAATAATATGAAATTTACAGTTTCTGTTCATTATCTACCCAACAGTGTCACATATTCAACTTTAATTTGACATATGGATATGTCAAAGGAATGGGCAGGTCAAGTTGGAATTTGGTCATGGTTTGATGATTTTTGGTAGAGTTATGTCTCTTTCACTTTGAAAATAATATAGATACATCTTAGAAATAAGCAGTTTAAGTTTGAATTTGGTCATGGTTCAATGATTTTAGACAAACTTATCTTTCCTGAATGTTGGAAAAATTTTGAACTTTCAGTTTCACCACTCATTCTTTTAGCCATTATTTTGGCTACAAATATGCAATATGCTATTTCTAAAAGGTTAAGACTGAATAATTTCAGTGCCTTGAACATTGTATGGAAATGGTTTGTGTTAACATTGAAAAGTTTTAAGGGCTTTGAACTTAAAATGAAAAAAATAATTAATGCACCATCTGAAATTTTGGCTGCATGCGGGGGCATCCGTGGCATGATGACACATTTCTAGTTTTCAATATGATTCCATTCTAAGAATATAATTATGAAGAATAGCAAGAAAGAAAGAAGCAAGTTTTAATTATGATAATACATTGATGCTTCTACCCCAGCTTGTAGAATATAATTAAAAGACTTCACAGCCAACATTCCAGATGAAAATGTACTGGGAGTCTATATTGTCCAGTTTTATTTTAGAAATGACATGTTTTAAGATGATAATTAATTATATTGAACAGTTTAACAACAAAAATATTTTCTAAATTGTTCATAGAATTGTTTCTGAAGTTGTTCCAAAAACAAATGTAAATATTCTTAACTTTTCTTAAATCGTTGTTACTGAAATGTTCATTTGTCACTTTCAAGACAATTTAATAATTGAAGAACTTTGAGAGTTCTGAGAAAGTTCAAGAACTGTTATTAAAAAGTATGTTCATGAACAGTCTTAAGCACAAATCTAAATGAGCACATCTTAAATTGTCCATTATGTTCTTGAACAGTTCAGTTCATTAATGCTGTTCGTCAGCCACTTCTGTTAACTTCTGAACAAAATATTAATGGCTTAAAAATAATGTATTTAGGAGCCTAAATTTGTTGTTTGACATTTGTTTTATGACCTTAACAAAGTCTATAAAATAAATGTTACAATCATATTAACACACACCCACTTCTCTATAAAAAAAAAACTTTTTCGTTTAAGGTAGTATTTGGCATTCTGTTGTTTCCAACAGGTTTGACTAATGATTGGACTAACTGACAGTTTTGTTTTAGTTATTTCATGGATCTGCCATGTACACCTGTGTGCCAATAAGTGAAACTGACAAAAACACTGATCTTAATCTGTAAATGTTGTGGTAATTTTGTTTTACATGGTGTTTTTTTTCTAGATAATAGAACATATTTAAGCATGTATAAATAATAATAGGAATTTTTCATGTATGAAAAAAAAAGAAAAAAAAGGAAATTTAGCTTTTCTTTTAAATCAAAAAGTAATTATGTTCTGGTGATTTAAAAAAAACACAATAAGTTGCAATATTATGGTATATTATGATGTAATAGATATAAAAAAAAAACATCATAATTTAAAATCAAGGTTTGATAATGTACAGTCATGTAATTAAGTGAAATTTTAAACAGATTTTTTTTTCTTTCTAGTGACTTTTTACATAAAGTTTGACCTTCTCTTTTATGTTGTTATGGTAATGGAGTTGTTATGGAAATAGAGTTATAGACAAATGTAGATCTGTATAGTAAGTGGTTGTTTTAGCAAACAATTTACATAATTTTGATTGAACATTGAATTTCACCGACAAAGATGTAGGACGTAAAAGATATTCTGATGGAACAAAATTACAGATTTCCGAGGTATTTATCTGTTTTATTTCTATATCTTGACATTTTAAAATGATATATTGTGGCTTTAGTTTGTATGTTTGTTTTGAAAATTGTTTGAAACAGTTTGATGGGAAATTATATCAAAAACAGTTTGACCTTTCTAAAGAGGGAAGAATAAAAGCTTTACTTTGAAATGGCTCAACTTTGAAAAGAACTTTTCTGTTGTTTTTTTTTTCCCTAAAAATCTGGACCTTGGAAGCCATTAAAGAGATGTTGGCATATATTTTGTCCAATTTTTAATCTGTATTCATCAATGATGAACTTTCTACATGTTACATTGTTTTTCAGCAAATTTACTGAAATATCATAGCGAATTATATATCTTGATATTTTCATTGTGAAATATGATTTTATTGTAGCTGAATTATATTACAATCTGGAGGCAAAGCATATAATCGTTAAAGGTAATATAATTTCTGCAGAAATACACTCCTTTGTTTGTAAATAAATATATATATTTGCTGTGTCTAGCAGAAAATAAGTAACAGTATGTTGAAACTGCTGATAAAACATGACTAATGGAAAACTGACATTTCTCCCTGCTTAACATTTACCTATTATTATATTAGTGTCAAGGCTGACATTTGCCCCCAGATCTATTTTGGAATGACGGACATTTGTCAGTCAACAGTATAGAGCAGTCTGGCAAACTAGTTATTTGAGTTTTTGTGCCCCCACGTTAGTGGCGGGCATTTAGATTTACCCTTGTCCGTCCGTCCTTCCGTCCGTCCTTCCGAGCAGACGAGAGCTACATTATGAGGTTTAGGTTTATGTACAGGCACTCTGTATGGGGTTCATTCTGTAGAGACATGTATTATGTGGTTAAAAATGCTCTTATGGGGTTAAAAAAATTTGCTCTTGTGGGGTTAAGAGATCAAAGGAATAACCCCACAAACACGTCTGCTAAGTACGTCCGTCCGTCCGTCCGTTCACTTTTGTGTCGCACGTAACTCAAAAAGTAATTGACATAGAGTCATGAAACTTTACAGGAATGTTGATCAGCATGTGTAATTGTGCACCTGGGTATTTTCGTCTGGATATTTTTAGTATTTTCAGAGTTATTGCCCTTGACTTAGTAAAATTTTGCAATTTTCAACTTGTGTCGCATGTAACTCAAAAAGTATTTGACCTAGATTCATGAAACTTTACAGGAATGTTGATCAGCATGTGTAGTTGTGCACCTGGGTATTTTCGTCTGGATATTTTTAGTATTTTCAGAGTTATTGCCCTTGACTTAGTAAAATTTTGCAATTTTCAACTTGTGTCGCATGTAACTCAAAAAGTGTTTGACCTAGAGTCATGAAACTTTACAGGAATGTTGATCAGCATGTGCAATTGTGCATCAGATATTTTTGCCTGGATTTATTTAGTATTTTTAGAGTTATTGCCCTTCACTTAGAAAATTTTTGCAATTTTCAACTTGTGTCGCAAGTTACTCAAAAAGGATTTGACATAGTCATTAATTAAACCTTATGGGCAGGTTGCTCAGCATATTTAGAATTGCACCTTGGGTTCGCTTGTGGATTTATCCAGTATTTGTAGAGTTATTTCCCTTGACTTAGTAAAAAGATTGACAGAACAGTGGCGCGGTTGGGGCACCCGTGTCCTATGGACACATTTCTAGTTATTATTTTGATTTATGCAAATCTGCACAAGCTCATTGGGTGGGTCTAATTGGTATGTTAGTCCTCCAGATTCTGGGAATACAGAATTACTTAATTGTAAAGAGGCAGTTTTTATAATAGTCCTTAAAGAACAGCATTCAATACTGAGAAGTAGTTTCATGGTGGGTAGTTTGTTTACTGATAAAGAAAACTCCATTTCAAACCAAAAACCCAGATGTAGATGTATTTTTAGTTGATTTACTCACAAAAACAACCAAACACAATTATTAGTTTACTTCCAGTGTGTTGTAAGTGTTTCCAGTTACCTTCAAGCATGTTTCCAGCTCTTACATGAAACTGGCATGATGCAAGTTCAGTCTGTTGATGTCTTCTCTGAAATCGGTGAAGCAATTGAATAATATTTATTATAATGTGTTATATTCACCCTTGAAATGGGTAAAACATTTCATCTGAAGTGAGCCATTATTATGACCATCTTGATCCTCTTTCCAAAATGTCTTACTTAATTTCCATGAGTATACATCCATAAAATTCTATAAACCTGCAGCATTTTAAAGATGGCTAAAATAACTATAATTAAAATCTATACTGTTATAAATACTAATTAAGCATGGAATTCACATGTTATAGTCTCTGAAAACAATGCATTTGTCTGATTTACAGCTGTTATTTCAGAATTTACAGACATGTAATATTCGCAACTAATTGCTGAAAACTAATTCTTTACTTAGCAGATGGTAATTTTCAACATTTATTTACAATCTTTTATATTAGATTCTGTAGAGGTTTTTGCCTGTTTTTAGTTAATATGTTTGTATCATATATTGTATGTTGATTGTTTGTGAAGAAGTAATTTCGGTTGATGAAGTAATTAGAATTTTGTGTTTGACATTTGACATACATAGAAAAGAAAAATTTAAAGATTTTAAAGTCATTAAGTACAAGCTCTCTTGAAATATTTTGATTGAAACACAAGGTCAAGGTTACACAGAGGGGTCAAAGTTCAGATAAAGAAATTAAGTCATCATTTATTGAGGAATTGAAACACAAGGTCAAGGTTACACAGAGGGGTCAAAGTTCAGATAAAGAAATTAAGTCATCATTTATTGAGGAATTGAAACACAAATGGTCAGTACTTGACTACTGGTGTGAAACATGTAATTTCGGTTAATATATGCAAGGTCAGGGTCACTAAAGATGATAAAATATAAAGATTTTGTCCAGAGCATAACTCCTACACACAGGAGGGATTCTAATGAAACTTCATAGAAATGTTCACCACTATGAGAAGCAGTGTCATGCGCTTAATACAGGTCTCTAGGTCAAAGGTCAAGGTCACGGTCACACTTGGATGTCATTGAAAAAGGCTTGTCTGGAGCAAAACTTCTACATGCATTAAGGGATTTCAATATAACTTGGTACAAATGTTCACCATTGTGAGGCTAAGTGTCGAGTGTAAAATTTAGGTGACTACTGCCAAGGTCAAGGGTACACAAAGGTAAGATAAAAAAATGAAACTGTGTATTTGGACCATTTAGTCAACATTTATTGAGGGATTGAAACACAAATGATAATTATCATGACTACGGGTGTGAAAACATGTAATTTAGGTTAATATATGCAAGGTCAAGGTCATTAAAGATGATAAAATATAGAGATTTTGTCCAAAGCATATCTCCTACAGGCATTAAGGGATTCTAATGAAACTTCATAGAAATGTTCACAACTCTAAGAAGCAGTGTTATGTGTATGAACCAGGTCCCTAGGTCAAAGGTCAAGGTCACACTTAGATGTCATTGACAAATGCTTTTTCGGAGCTAAACTTCTACATGCATAGAGGGTTTCATTATAACTTGGCACAAATGTTCACTATAGGTAAACTAAGTATTGCGCTCTTGCTTCCAAAGTCAAGGTCATATAGAGAGGTCAAAGTTTGTGAATGGGGACCATTTAGTCATCATTTATTGATGGATTGTAACACAAATGATAACTATATCATGACTACAAG